TGTGTGTGTGTGTCTCTCTCTCTCTGTGTGTGTGTCTGTGTGAGTGTGTGTGTGTGTCTCTCTCTTTCTCTGTGTGTGTGTCTGTGTGTGTGTGTCTCTCTCTCTCTCTCTGTGTCTGTGTCTATGTGTGTGTGTGTGTGTGTGTGTGTGTGTGTGTGTTTGTTTGTGTGTGTGTGTCTGTGTGAGTGTCTGTGTGTGTGTGTGTGTCTGTGTGTGTGTCTGTGTCTGTGTCTGTGTCTGTGTGTCAGGCTCAGGAGGTGCGAGAGGTGATGGAGGCTGAGATGAGGACACAGCTGCGTCGTCAGGCTGCTGCACACACAGATCACCTGCGGGACGTGCTGAAGGTTCAGGAACAGGAGCTGCGTGAGGAGGCCCAGGAGGTACCAACACTGCCTGTTTACATCGACTAACAACTACATAGAATTTATGATAGAATTTAACAGGTAAAGGACGTGTTCACTCCAAAAATGGGATGGGTTTACCTGTTGGACTGATCAGTGGCAGACAGGGTGGTGTTGGGAGCCTTTAATTGAAACTGTCCTTATATTTATATGTTGTATATACATGTTCTGTTTGGTGTTGGTAGTGGTACAGAAACGACACGTGGCATCTTTAAAAAATGCACTGGAATCTCGGCAAACAGAAATATATTTTCGGTTTTAGCCAAAACCGTTTTGAAGAGCCAAAATCATTGACCGATTAAATAGTGCTTCTCTGCATTTTGCTAAATATATACAATGTTTTACATATTATTTATATTTTCACTTAACCTGTTGCTTTATTAATAATTCATGTATTGAATAAATCTGTCATGGAAACAAGTTTTATTACAGCCATCATTTAAATATTTATATTTCAACAACAAATTGGAGTACAACAACAAACAATTATTATACAATTAAAAGCTGATATAAAATGTTATGTGCAAGATAAATGTTTATGAAGAACTCAGATTTTATTTGAGTGTATGATTATTACATTTGATAATTCATTATTGAATTTTATTTTCAGTTTTGGCTAAATTAACACTTTCATTTTGGTTTTGGTGTTTCTGTAAAGAATTATTTTTGGCGTATCAGTATAACTCTAGTACTGTCTGTTTCGACTAAAGTAGTCAAGATTGAAAAGAGATTATATAATCTATCTAAATGGATGCAATTCTGTCTTTGTAGATTCTGAACAGTAAGATGATGGAGCAAGAAACTCATTACCGCAGACTAACTCAAGAACAGCTGGACACCTTCACTTTGGACATGAACGCCGCTTATGCCCGTCTCAAGGGCATCGAAGAGGCCATAGACAGTAAGTCTCAAACTGCTTAAACTCTGCCAGTAGTGTTACCACATTCAACAGAGGCATGCTTGTATCTTCCATTTGACCTTTGATTGTTCAGTATTAAGTGTTTGCCTTGTCTCCAGGTCACGTGATTGCTGAGGAGGAGGCCCGTAAGGCTCACCAGTTGTGGCTTTCTGTAGAGGCTCTGAACTACACGCTCAGGTCAGCAGGTGCCGATTTCCCCACTGAGCCTCTAGAGGGCGCTGTGGGTGTCATTAAAGAGAACTGTGCAGAAAACGAGTTCGCTCAGGCGTTGGCCACTGCCATTCCCGAAGAGTCTCTCAGCCGAGGAATCTACAGCGAAGCTTCCCTTCGTGCACGTTTCTACGACATCCGTCGCCTCGCGCGACGCGTGGCGCTTATCGACGAGACGCGCAACAGCCTTTACCAGTACTTCCTGTCCTACCTGCAGTCCGTCCTTTTGTTTGAAAGGGAGCAAGTAGCGCCTCCTGCTAAACTAGCACCCGAAGATCTCGACACGTTCAAGCTGCTTGCCTATGCTAATTACAGCATTGAGCGCGGCGACCTGGAACTAGCCGCTAAGTTTGTCAACCAACTTCGCGGCGAGTCACAGCGTGTGGCACAGGACTGGCTTAAAGAAGCCCGACTCACCTTAGAAACAAAGCAGGTGATTAGCCTGCTATCGGCATATGCTAATGCCGTAGGGTTGGGCACCACACAGGCCCCTTAGCCACACCCACTCTGTCAAGATTATGTAAATTACGAAGAGTGTTACTTGCCCGGTATTAACGGAACCTTCTGCTTTAATTTATAAATAGGTTGTGTGCTAGCCAAAAATTTGTTTTTCTTAACTGTCCAAAGCACTTTTGCAAGAAGTCTTTGCCCTAAAAACAATTCTTAAGTGGCCTACCATCCAGAACAACCAGTAGTTCGTATGCGGGAAACACTCGGCAGTGACACTCCTCAGTGTATATGGCGCACATCTCACTGGTTAGGATTACATGTGCATTCATCAGGCTAAATGCTAAACCTGTTCACTGTTTCGGAGTTCACATGTAATGATTCAGATATATTTACTGGTTGTTTATTATCCCAAACTGTTGAGAATAATCAGTCATCTCATTCAGTACTGAAGATATTCAATAAATCATGGTTGTTGACAATAATGGCATTTCAGTTATTTGCATGTCTGTGTTGTTTCAAAAAGGGTCAGATCTGGTTTAGTAGGGGTTCATTTCAATTTTTTTTAGGACACAGATTCATAAGAGTTTGAGTGGCATATTTTAGTGCAGATTGTGTTGTGAATTAGTCGCAATGTAATGAAGCCCTTATGATGTTGTTATTGAAAGATGGAGCCGCACGTACTATATTGGATCTGACAGCAAAGCTGTTATGCACAGGTAAGCAGCTGTTACTCATTTCACAAATACACCAAATCCAAGTAAGGATCAACCTTGTGTGCATTTCTCCTGGAAGCTGCGGAAAGGCAGCCAAACAAATGGAGAAGGCACTTCGCAGTTTTGTATGCAATGTACATCAGGCAGTGAATGAAAGAGCTGTGGGTGGTCTGTGCGTGTTAATGTCATATCATTCAACTGCTGCAACAATAGCATAGAATGCCTTCAAGATTTAAAAATAATTATAAAGTAAATATTCAATTCATTATTGCTTGTCTCAATACATATCGTTTCGAAGTATCTTTACAAAAGAATATGCATGTTTCCATGTTACAATTAATAGTAATGTTATCAGAGTTGACTGTCAAAGTAATGTCTGAATGGCAGAAATGTACAGTTCTAAGCAAATATAAATCATTCAGTTAATGTCATGTATTTATTTAAGGCTAATCCAGCTATTACAGAGTTTAGGAGCCAAATGTGAAAACACTTGACTTTTGTGAACTTAAAGAGCGAGATGGATTAAAGCGTGATAAAAGATCTGTTAAACACACAGGTGCTAAAACATCTACGGCCTTATAAGTTGCAATACTATCTAATCAATATAGGTAGGGTAGAATGGTAGAAGATGCTCTCCTTAAGAACAATGTGGATTTTCTTTTACATTGTAACATATTTAGATATAAGTTCAGCATGTGCACGATGATGATGATGATGCTGTATCAGACAATGCGTTCTTAAAGGAAATCAGTAGAAACATTTGCTTAGTTACAGCGTAAAATGTAAAACATTAAGAGGGTTAAGATGACTTACAGAGTGTAAAAATGATTTTTGATATGTTTTTATCTGCATATTTACATATTTAATTGCCCATATTTTAGTTGAAGATATGTCATAATAGCAACACTATGAATGCAAATGTAATGATTTCACTCAGTTAAACTTTAAGTTTTAATGAAAGTGAAAATGTCAGAAATGTGCATCAAATTCATGTAGATGTTAAATAACCCCATTACTTACAATAAATACTACATTTTAAAATAATACTAATAACAGCATGCCACTTGAGCCCTTCTGTGCCAATACAATAGACACAAGCAGTGTTGGGTGTAACGCGTTACTCCTTATCCACTGAAAAAAGTAAAAGAGAAAAAGACCTAAAATACCCAGATACAGATAAGAAAATCTATCAAATCTATAAATGGTATACTATTATTTGTGTACACTGACAATAACAAAATAGACAAAACAAACAGGGTGCGCTTTCTGCTGTTTTGGTCTCCGTGAACTTCTTTCTGAAACGCTGTAATACAAAAACGAACTGAAACTCGGCGAATACTTGACACACAGACGTGAGAAATATGTCTATAGAAAACTTGAAGTGTCTACTTTTAAATGAACCGATTCAAATCGAAAACGAATATTCTCTGATTATGTAATCCGTATGAAACTAAAGCAAGGTATAGTCTTTCCTGGTCTAGTTTGGCTTTTCCCAAACTATCTTGCCAAACTGAAATGAAAGCGACTAAAATATGCTGAAATATGATATGTACATTTACATTGTATCTATATAATTAATAAAGTTAAATATGCCCTGGAATATAATGCATTATATATATTGTATTGTTCATTAGTTTTGCCCTACTTAACTTATTGTATAGAAGTTTGGGGCAATAACTATAAAAGTTCACTACATCCCCTCTTCATACTTCAAAAACGTGCAGTTAGAATCATACATAAGGTGGGATATTTTGATCACACAAATATATTATTTCTGCAATCCAGACTATTAAAACTTTTTGATTTAGTTGATTTTTATACTGCACAACTCTTGTATAAAGCCAACAAAAATGAACTACCGGGCAATATTCAAAAGTTATTTACAGGAAGAGAGGGGGCCTATAATCTGAGGGGATGTGGGAACCTTAAAGTCCAGGTGGTGAGAACCACCAGGAAAAGTTTGTGTGTGTCTGTGTGTGGTGTCAAACTTTGGAATGGTTTGGGGACACAGCTCAAGCAATGCCCAAATATTTACCTATTTAAATCAAGATACAAAGAAATGGTGTTGAAAAAA